CGGCGATTTCTAAGTATCTGTGGTGCAGTGTTGTGTTGTGCGATGTCAATGGCTGCAGCACTCCAGTGGAAACAGCAGTAGCAGACTTCGAACCGGGGGCCATGACAAGAGGAGCAACGCGCAAAACGTAACGTTAAAAAAACAAAACAGTGTCGGCCGAACTCTTAGTGGTTGAGGACCCATCCGAAGGAGGATGGGCCGGGTACTTGCAGCAAATCAGGTACGCCATAGCATCGGCACGGTCTTACCATGTCAGTCCGGTCACAGGCTGGTCATGATAATCTCATCGCACCTTGCCAGGCAACTCTGTATTTGATGCGGTAGCCGCCATGACTAAGCGCATGTTAGGTTAAGGTCAAGTTGGCAACTCTGTGCATTTTATATATTTTTTTATAGTTTGTAAGGTGTCCTCCCGCCCTCCCCGTTAGGCACACATGTTAGGGTTTTGATTAGGCGATGTGAACTTAGCTTTTGTGTCCAGTAAGCCCTTCGTGGCCGAATGGACATTCAATTAGGAAGGTTTAGTCTTAAGTATTTTTTTTAAAAATCACAGGGTGCTTAACTTGACAGGTTCGGTAGGCACGACCAATTACGTCAATGCGAGAAGGAAAGAGAGAAAAAAGAACTTTTGTATTCTCTTCCTGTGAATAACTCGCATTGTTGGGACAAAGATTCAGTTTAACGTAAAACATAACTTGATTTTGGTTTTGTCGGTCTCTCACTTCATTGTTGAAAGAACCGTCTGAATCTATAGAGGAGTGAAATGTCATGTTTGTCTTTGTGTATTACGATGTTTTCAGGCTATAAAATGACTTCAAGATTCAACATTAGAGAAAGTAATCGAAATTTGTTGGTGTAATGTGTTACACATTCTTATTAATCGATAAACGCGAAACAATGACGTTTACATTTTGCGTTTTATATGCGTTTTATACAATATCCGAATAACCGTCGTTTTACGCATTCAAAAGCGTTACTGAAGCAAAAACACATTTTCAATAAACAAATTACGATCGGAGTGCGTCATCATCCGTCAAGCTGTGTTGACTCCAGAATTATTATGACGGTTTCTTTCATAAGCAACAAAATAAATACAGGGAGTTTTCGAGGTTGGACTGCGTTTTCGACGTTTTATTTTGGAATTTGGAGGAGCGTAGTTTTTAACACCGTAAATTTGAATTTCGTGGACTTCGTGTACTGGTTAGTCGATGTTTAAGCGACGATTATGATTTTGTTGCGACGTTCATATTTACTCTGTTTTGCACTGCGTGGCTTACAATTGTGAATAATTTACTTTAAAAGTCGTTGAGTTGTACGTGTTTATATGTACAACTGCAATGAATAAATTGTACTGTCAATTGTAAGCCTTTCGTGATCGCGGATGCTAAAACGTACAACGAATGTGATCTACAATTTAGCTTGAAATTTGCTGGACAGAAGTCGAATGAAGGATGTCAACAGCACAGGTAAGTTTTCTGTGTTAATTTCCTTAATTACTACAGACTTGTTGCTTACTGTTCTTATAGAAGTTTTCTTGTTTGTTTTGTTTGGTTTCAGGCCCCGCTCATGTCCTGTGCCTCAACGTGGCGAGCGTGTGAAACAAAGAACGGTGCATGCCCGAAAATAAAGTCCTCCATTCTGATTCCGTGCACTATACTCGGAATCCCCGATGCGAATATTTTAATTGGCTTTTAGACTTTTGTCTGTTTGTATACCGCCTGTTAGTTGACTCGTGTTCGCCTAAATAGAATTGCTTTCCGTTGGTTGTAAGGATTGGTATTTACGTTCCTTATAATATGTGTGCACCAAATGTAATTCTGGACAACGCTGGTATACATAAACTACCATTTTGTGTGTACTTAAATTCTAAGCTATATTTCAGCGCGTTCTGATAAGACAATGTTTGCCAGTGTGGTGTAAGAGAGTGCAATTTTTACGCGTGAAGTTTGTCGTCTGTCTACGCGTATGCGATGTGCTGGGAATGGATTCGACGTCATGTTTAGGGCGACTGCAGAAATGTGGACTACGATTTCGATTCCGTGTTCCTTGGTATTTTGATTTTCTCTGATCGGTACGTCGCTAAATGTTCTGTAAATATTATAATGTGGAAAGACATTCTTTTAGACGCGTAAATACGTAGTGATTTCCTTCCAAAGATGTATTATATAGCCCGTAAGTAATGTTTTTTAAACCAATTTAAGAGAATTAAACGTACACGTGGTACCACTTGTGTAAGTACGTGCCACGCGCTACGTTTTCACAGTATCTCCAAAATGAGTCATAGATTTGCGTGAAATTCAAATTATGCACACAGTTTTAGCAATATTTTCCTTAAAATGAAAATGTTTGGACAATATTTTGAAAGGGTCTGCCATACCGATTTTGATCAGTATCCGTTATGTCAGCATTAACTTTGCAGACGAACATGATGAAACTAATAGGCTATCTTTGAAACACGAAAGTTTGATATTAATGGCGCTGTGTAAACATCTATCTGAAATTATCAATTTATTTTTATCAGTGCATACGATAGTTTCGATAGGGTTCTCAAAGGATTAAAAGTGCTGTAGTTTGAAATTATCAGTTACGGGAATGCATCGTTCCTTTGCTAAACAGGATGACCGACTTACTGAAATGCGAATTCGTGTTAACTGGGTCATTTTTCCACGGCTTCCCGTGAGCAAAATTTTCAATTGCTGGGCGTTTTGCCAACAAAATACATCTAACACGGAGTTAAAGTAATAGTTTCTGAAATATTGTGCAAATGGAAGGCCGGGGCGTCTAGATATCTTAAGTATTTGGAGTCTACAGTATGATGATGTTCTAGGCAAATCACCTGTAGCTGATTATTTCGACTGGAGCTTGCATCATCACCAGAGTAGGGGATTTGGTGAGACACGGTACCCACCTTGGCTAGACGGAGGTGAGCCGATGTCTACACGCTCCGTTGTCCGTGTCAGTTAGGAAAGAACTCGTTGCACCGACTGGATAGGGGCGAATTGACCTAAGGTTGGGTCAGGATACCAATCCTACCCCTGCCAGGAATCGAACTAGCAAGAGATGGAACTCGTCGCTTAAAAGCATCTACCAGAATGCCGACCTCAACCTTTTGTAACGCACCTGTAGTGACAAAGCCAATCTTTCACACACGCAAAGGTAACTATCATTGTATTCTGCTGATGACAATTTTGTGCAATAATTATCACCAGTAATAAATTTGGCTCGCTTTAGTACTTATAAAAATGTTGTAATTGAAGGATTTTAGGCGACTTCTTCCCAAAGTGACGGCACGTTTTCAGATAGAATGATGGAGACAGAGATATTAACGGGCTTCTCCTTGATGCCTGCGACGTGTATGGCCTCGATTATTCCAGTGCGCATTTCAGAATCATTTGTTTTGTGAACGAGGCATCCTCAATGCCCTGCTAACAGAACGCGCTTGAGCACGTAGTTTGTTATGACGTCAGATGGGGCATGCAACGCAATACTGCAAAACATTAGTGGTTGAGAGATAGATTTCGTGGGAACCAATTATATAGTTCTTATCGTAAGACTACTTACGTGGGATCTTCTATCGCATTGCCACCACAACGCAAAATTAAGTTTCAGTAGGACTATTGATCAGGTGGACGGATCGAGTGACCAACGAAGAAGTATTGAGGAGAGTCAACGAGCAAAGATTACACGAAGGAAAGCTAACTGGCTGGGACATTTTATGAGAAGGAATGGATTACTGAGTGATGTCATCGAAGGCCAGGTTGAAGGAAAGAGAGGACTGGGAAGAAGACTGATGCAGCTAACCGACGATCTCAAACAAGGAAAGAATATGAAGTTTCAGGAATTAAAACGAGAAGCAGAGAATAGGGAAAACTGGAGAGCTCTTTTTGGGCAGAACAACGGACCTGTCGTCAGACAGAACACTAAATAATAAAAAAAGGACCATTGAGTTGATCGACTGAATACGGATTCCGTGTTAGTTTTATCATTATCTAGAATGTCATGGAGGTTTTTGCACTGAAATTAACCTTTTGGTCTTATTTATTTTATAATCTTATTCATAAAATTTTCCAAACTTTTCTTGCCGGACATCGGTAGGAAAAGGTTTGAAGCCGTTATCTTCTGAATTTAATACACGAACACCTGAAAATAAAATGCGCACCAAATATCAAAGAAAATATGTTTCACTCTTTAGTTTCCAACAAACTGTTTTACACACATCAGTAGAGTTCAGTCCGTATGTGTAACTTTCGATAGTTACTCAAATCTTTTATTGAAATTCTATTTACGTGTCAGTTTTTTAAACATTTAATAAGTAAACTAAACTAAATCAATTAGGTTTATATTATTTAAAATATTTGCGAAGGCTAGAACGAGTTTGTATCTTTAGGTATATTAAAATAATGGGATAATCGGCGGTAGCTTCTAGTAAAATACGTACTCTGATTGAACGTGAGCAAATGTAATTTCTCGACATTTTGAGAGGGGAATCCGAATTGCGCATTATACACGTTCTACTTCTGACTCGGGTGCACGCCTGTGTTTACGTCACAGCCTTCGGGTTGAGAAAAACTGCCCCACGAATTTCGAAGTTCTTGTTCGCCATCTTTGTAATTCTCAACATGTAAAACGTATTTCGTAGAGAAACTACCGGAGCATTGCACCGGTTTGTACATGACGGTCTACCATATTGTTTCAAAAGAGATTATAGTCATATGTAACAGCAGAGATCATATATGAGATTTTATCTTCTCTCGGCGGTGAAGATGACGTTCTTTTGGATTATGACGCTGTGTGGACTCGTAGGCAGATACGAGCGTTTCGGAGAAACGTCCTGTTTCTTTTATTTAGCCCTGAAGATGGATATAATATGTTTCCCCGAAACGTCGCATTTATCCATACCAGATGCCTCTGTGCGCACAAACCTTGTGTTCATCGGCGTGGAACTTTGCTTGAAAGTAAAGAAAGGTTGTAGGGGTATACCCCAGACATTGCAAACCGCATCAGCTGTGTTCGTTTATTGCAGGTACAAATGTGTTGTTGAAAATCTAATAACGCTGCTGGTATCACATGGTTAGAAATTATTTACATCTTTTTCGTTATAATTTATAATAATCTTCATTTAAGTTAACCCTTTAAAGCACAGTGGTAACTGTACGTAGAAACTATTTCAATATAAAGTAAATAAGCATTTTACCCAAATTTCATTTGATTCTCAGAAAAAAGAGCGATTATTTCTCTAATCAGCGTTAGCAATTAAACATCGTTATGGTGACGCGTTGTGTTTTCTTTGAGGTAGGAACCAAACTTTTGTGCTTTGTGCTTGAAAAGGTTAACGACACTGCCGTGAATCTGGTGCGTCTTTGCTAAAGATCTTCCAGAGAAACTCCACAGCGGACGTTGTAAAACTGGTCACAAACTTTGAATTGCTGGTGGAACAGCGTTCCATTTGGACACAAGAAACTGCGAACCAAGTGATCTTGGCACAGGTGGAACGCCTGGAGAAAAAAGAGGTTAAGTGTTACACTTGAAATAGGTCTCTACCAGGACCGACTGAGTTGATATGGGACTGAGTGCATCTTATATAAGAGGACGACACGATTAGAAAGTTAAGCGACGCTTTAACAATTGTTACTGTTTTCTCATTTATAGCGAGTTACGGAAAATCCGTTTTGAGTTGTCATCTTTACTAAATTCGTCATAATTTAAAATTTATCAAATGGAATAGCAACGACTGTTTTCGTAAATGTTAAATTTAAGGAGACAGTCGAAGACAAAAGAAAGAAAGTAATTGATTTTCGTCTATTTCACTACAATTATTCGTTTCTGGTCAAGTGCGACATTTCGAAGGCATTTTCATACGAAGGAGAACGACATTTTCGGTCACACTCCAGTTATCACATTTCGAATCCGTATGCAAATTCATTCGATCGATGTATCGATAAATAAAAAATATAAGAGTGTAGAAGTAAGTCAGCACTCAGTAGCCAAGGTAACCTAGATGTTTTCAATCATGTTACGGTGCTCATATCAATTAACACAACTTTCTCCCTCGTGCAGCAACTGCTGTTACGCCTGAGCGATTTTAATAACTGACAAGCCGCGTACCTTCTCTACTGAATGGTTTAAATTCGGACCGTAACGTTGTAGACTCTCAGCCACACGGTAATATTTCCCACAGGGTTGTGGGCTGCAGTTGTCGAGACATTAGGCGTGATTAAAACGTGACTTTATGCACACTATTTTGATTATTTCGTCGTGTGTCACATTTGTGACTACGGCAAGTCCAGTCATGACCAAACTGTAACTTGCGATTGCATAAATATACCATCATAAGGTTTCTTTTCCATAGTGTTCATGCAGCCTAGTTTTCGTGACTATGTCGTGAAGGAATCGTGTCGACTCGTGACTGTTCAGATATTATGGTTCATTGGTGGTAGCTACATACTGTGCAAATGCCAAATAATAAATTTCAGACTGAACTGCTTGTGCAGAGACAACAATAATACGTAGTCCCTACCCTAGATACCGTAGTAACTGTCACCCGGTGACAAACCAAATGTTCCTATACTGAAAACTACACTACCCCTTACCTGACAGTAGGCCCATCTTCTTATCTTAGATGCCCAAAATAAATTCCCAGACTGTACCCCAGATACATCAGCCATTCCCCTGGAAGTTAATCCAGGGTGGTAAGCCCTCTATCCCTGATCTATATGTCACAGTAACTCTCCCTTGCAGCCAGTCAGTTTCGTGTCCCTGAGCTAGATGCTTCTCTACTGCCACGTCTGTAGCACCTACATCCCTGAAGAATTCTCTTCTGGGTTGTTGCGCCGTGTAGTCTGGTAGATGTTAACCAACGTTTCAGAGGTCATACTGCCTCCGTCATCAGAGTATGAAGATTTCTGTCTTCAGGGTTGTTGCGCTGTGTAGTCTGGTCGATGTTTACCAACGTTTCGGAGGTCATCCTGCCTCCGTCATCAGGGCTACACAGCGCAACAACCCAGAAGACAGAAATCTTCATACTCACCGCTGTGAAAACCTAAAATCTTACATCTGCATCCCTGTCCCAGGTTCAAAAGAAAGGTTCACCTGGCAATAAGCCTCTGTATCTGCGTGCAGTCCCCAATCCCTGCCCTCGCAGCTGAAGGCAGTATCAGGCACCCTGTCCAGGGTGGGGTACAGAGGGGGGTCGTGCGGCAGGTGCAGGTCGTGGTACGGGTCATGTGGAGTTCCGTCTGCGTTTAAGAAGTGACCCGCTCTTGTCAGCTCCGCCAGCAACGCTGCAATGTGAATGAGGCTCAGATTGATGAAAAAAAAAACTAATACGTGGAATGGAGAAAAATATGCAATAAAGCAAATGTCATCCTTGAGGATAGCCTTTAAAGATCGAAACATTTTAAGTTTGTAATATCTCAAGATTTTATTACAATTGACGGGTACTCGTGTATGAATTAATCTGCACTCCTCCTGTAATGTTGTTTTTGGGATTGAATCCAGAAGGGTGGGACGGTGTATGTAGCATGCATTGGAGAAATAGTCTCTCTACTTCATTTTCAAATTCTTTGTCAGCAGTATTTTCTCGTCGTAAAACAAGTCGGAGTAGTAAGTAGTAGTTCTGCGTCTGCCATACCACTAGATCCTCCCATTAATGATCTTCTCGTTCTACATCGTACAATAAGAGCTGACAGCATCATTAAATCAGGAACGCGTAATTGAATAAGTAATTATTTTTACATCTACATTTTACAAAATGTTATTTCTCTCTGCGGGTCCATTTTAACGAGGCGTATGTGAGAGTGAAATAAACTCCCGCGCATTCTGCATCTGTATTGTAAATATAGGTGAGTGGTCAGTTTCATGTATAGGTCACTTTACCGATGGGGAGCACAGCCTCTGGTACCCATTAAATAGAAGGCTGGGTCGGCCCCAGAGGGCTGTTTTGACACTGGAGAGGGAAGTGATCCCTGGTCCTGCAGAAAATGGAACTCCACCCTTTCAATTCGTTGTCATTTTACACGCATTTTAGCAGTTTTGCCCTTGGTCAATGATAATAATTGTTTTCACGAAAATCATCGTTAATTGAAATTATCTTTACTCGATTATAGGAAATACAGGACATCTTTTTCCACAAGCAACGCGAATTAAACACTGAAAAGCAAGCCAACCGATTTCCAAACCTTTATTTAAAAAAGGGGGCGCCGATTGGCCGAGGGTCGTGTTATATAAACATAACGTTAATCGGAAATGCATCGGTAACAGAAACAGTGGGACACTATGGGAGGAGGATTGTTAATTGAAATATCTTTAGTCGATGGCATCGCAAACCGAGGGACCACTGTGTTGGCAAATTTCATCTTCCACATTATGCGATTAGACAGTTTAAAATAAAGGGATTTATTACGTGAGTCTGGACTCTGCCTCGGTCCTGTTGAATCACTCAAAGGTCATTGTAATTCATCCTCCAATCCATTCCTAGGTCTGAAGATTAGTATCTTTCCTGTTTTCGTTCTAGAATTCTGTTCGCACATCAACATCGTGTTTGCTACATATCCCGTCCACGTAGCATTCTACTTAATTTCTCTAACAATGTCCGGTAAAGACTTCAAATTATGTAGTTTTCCCCGCTCCATACCAAAATTAATTAAAATCGGCTCAGTTGTTTTGCTAGAAGCATTACAAACAAGCACAACCTCGTCCTATAAGTTCCGTGCTTTATGCAAAGAAAGCACAAAGGCCACTTTACCCCTGTCTAGAAGAGGAAGAACTTTTTGAAACAATTTCGTTTTAATTGTGTTTAGAAATTGCATTAAATATAACCCCCTGATCCTGTATTCAAAATTCTTACCTGCTGTGAGAATCAGAGAAACACGCAGCATCTCGTGAGATTGTCGCCGCTTGTAGCGCTGGGTAGAAACAAGTGAAGATTGGCGCCTCGCGAAGAATGTGGGGCAGTAGCGAAACCACAATAACATAACGCTGGCCACTGACAGAGCGTAGCGGGTCCCCACCAGCCCCGTCGTCCAGTATAAGGTCAAACACCACCTACAATTTTACGTAAAATGGAAGTTTAGAAATATACAAACCTTCCTCGCAAACGTTGCGACCGCGTCACTTAACGCTGGTCGTTGCTTGTAATTTATTTTAAGTTGGACTTCATTTCATTAAACCACGGGAAAAATAATGTCAATTCTCTGCTCCTCGGTATGGTAAACAACGGAATAGTTTCTCAATGAAACTCAGTATTATTTAGCGAACTGAAATTAAGTAAAGTTAGCCTGTCTTGGATTACATTTACGTTTGAGTTAGTCCTACATTATTCAATCAAATAAACTAATAAAGTGATATTAATAAACTTCCACTCATGTATTAAATAAATACTCTATTTCCGTTGCATGTATGTAAAAAATTCCTAGACCCGGTCCACAGACATTTTATTGAAGTTTCGTTTTGTCCAATCATCTTCGCATATTCATTTGTTTTAGGTTCTGTTTATTTTGCGTCCACAATCTTTAGTGATGCCGGTAATATTTTAGATCCATTGCCCACTGCGAGTGACACCTGTTACAGCTGCAAGTTAAACCCTTTCCCACGATATCCGGATTGCAGCTGTACAACAGCCGATCTATTGCCAACTCTCAGTTTACGTCTGGAAAAAGAAATGAAAAGGATGTCAGACGCTGACACCGTACGTCAATACCGTTACAGCCCTGACAAGACTAGTTTATTAGTACCATTATCAATACACGTGCCATGGTGGCTACGTTTGAGTATTATGTTTAAAAAAAACACGTTCGAAAACCTCCTTTGAACTAGTAACCCGTGAATTTATTTCACTGATTCTATAGAAGAAACGAGGCTAAAATACTAGGCCATTGTAAAAGAACAAAACCATTACGCCGGAGGAATTAAAGGAGCATAAGGCAATTACATTGTATTCTTAAAGCTTTATGTACTTTAGTTACAAAATGAAGACAACTGAGTCGTTAAAACAATAAACACGTAATTTATAATGAGATGCAGTGGCGGCCCGCCCATAAGAGCTGCAGAGATGCAGCACCCCCTTTAATTTTTCAAAAATAAAACAAAATATTTTTTGTGTTTATATAATTTCTAACACTTTATTTCCTCTATATCTTTATTTTAGTATTGTGCCGTACGTTGTCATTATCCTCTAATCGGCTGAACTGACAGTAAGTCCACGGGCGAGGAGTGGAAAGCAGAACGGTGCTATCATTCGGTTGGATGGATTTCGGCGCGGCTAACAGTTCAAATGCGTTGAGCGCTGGGGTTGGTGGAGCGTGGGGCACTTCTCTGGTACAGCGCATATCGGAGCTGCAGTCCCCGCAGACGGCTTATAGTAAACACCCTTGTCCGGTTCCACGTGTTTAGACTGGTTTCTGTATCACGAACTGTTTCGTGGTTATTGTTAATGAGTGTTCAATAATTCTGTTTTGACTATTTTTGTTCTGATAATGATAACGATCAAAGGAAGTGTATCATAGTTACCGCAAATTACTTTTTATAAATTGTCTTTGAGTGAAAAATTATGTACAAAATCATGGCCGCCCTCTTCCGGACTTATAAATAGTTAAAACATCGTCGATTACGTATGGATTTTCTCCTGATGTAAATTTAATTTTCATTTATTTATATTGTTATGTGTTGAAATATTATTCTGATTTTCCCCCTAGCGCAGCACTACCACTGCTCAGACTCACGAGCCGCCACTGGTGAGCTGATATATAAATTATTAAATCGATTATTTACAATCCAATTGTAATATTTTAGTGCTTAATCGGCTGACCGAATCCATGCAGTGTTGACACATGCAACTTATCACAATGTTCTAGCATTTTATCTAAATGGAACGCGATCTAAAACACGATAACACAGTATCCTACAATATCGACTCTGCACAATTGCTGAAAGTAGAAAGTTGTTGCATTCTCGAATTTTTTCCGTTCTCGTTTTGAGATCAGAAGGTTAGTATTGGTGGGTCAGGTGTGGGTGGGTTGTGTAGGTGTGAGGCAACAGACCGAAACGTAAAAGCCGTCTTCAGAGCTGAGCCAAAGAGCACGTCAGCGCCCTAAAGAACAGTTTGGAAAATGGATACATTTTTTTTTGTTCTTATTACTTACGGAACTTTATTTCCTATTTCATGTTGCACCAGTTTTGATGCGGTGATACTTTCGGATAAGCTGGCTACTCACTATAAAATTTTAAAAAAGTTTAATTTTTTTAAAGGATTAAATATTTACCACGAAAAATATTTCAAATTAAATTTTTAATTCTGTAATAAGATAGATCTATGGTATTATATACCAGATTATTCGTATGATTAGCCGATTTATGAGAGTTATAGAAGTCCAATTTGAATTTCAGACTCGCTGACTTGGGGTCGTGTTGCACGAACAGGAATCATAGTTAACACACGCCCCTCAACTCTTAATGTACAACGTATTTAGCATTTTGTAAAAATGTTTTCAATAGCGTGGGAGATAACACTTGTGCGCTGACGGACGCAACATCACTATTAATAAAGCGTATAACGTCGGCTTGCTGTAAGCAGCGACACGGAACGTCTTATAAATTACCCGCGTCAGTTGCACGTTGGAGAAGTTGCCTGAACGGCCAGGCTGTAGAAATAACCGGACACGTAATAAAGTTACTTTACGCGGTGTTCGGCAGCAGAAACATGTGAGTATTTATCTTCATTCTCCGTCCGTCTTTACTTTCCCCTGGGGAAAGAGGAGATGCCAACTTTCATTTAGGAGGTTGGTTGAGTCCGAGCGTTGTCTGAGCCTGGAGATACAGAAACGCTTCTCTCTCCGCAGTCCCCGCTGTCTGTCTCGTCTTCTCTACTGGATGACGTAGCATGGCACTTGTGTTCCTGAAAATTATGTTCCTAAATTGATTATAGGCGATTCGTACAGCAAACAAAAGAGGCGGTTTAATCTTTACCGTCATTAATTACCGGTCCTGTTAAATAATTAGTGAGAATAGGAGGTATAATTCCTTCTCATTCTTGATCTTGTCTCTCGTCGCAGCGGCACGCCTCGGCCGCGCTTTACTTCCAGACCCCTGGTAACTCACTGGGTGGACCGAGACATGTAGTGTAAATGTGGATAGAAGACGTGAGAGTTTCGATCGAAACACTTGAAAGGAAAAGAGTGCAGTTGGGATCCACAGACGTAAATGGTAGGATATTATTAAAATGACGTTTAGAGAAATCTGGTGTGAATGTGTGTACTGAAATTATCCGGTTCTGGTCAAGGTCGAATAGCAAGCTTTTCTGAACACGGTCGTGAAATTCGGGTTTCATAAACCCAGGTCATTTTTTGACCGGCTATGCAACTGCCAGTTCGACAAGAACCCCTGTATCGTGGAGTTTTTGTTATATTTTTCCCCTTTGACGACATGTTGCTTTAATTGTCGGAGCGGCCAATTAAATTAACTGTAAATTTGGTAGTGGCCGTCATATTGTGGCACCAGTTCGTGGTGGCCCGTTACAACTTTCCCCGCTCCTGTCGGCGTGCCATTCGTTGTTGAACTCGGCCAGATCGAATGGAGCTGGTTAATCGTGCAGATATTACCGCCACCGATGCTTTCACTCGCCGTGATTTTTAACGTGACAGGGCTTAACAGGGAGGAATGGAATAACATTATCGTGACTGAGTAACAATTTGCAAATCTGAAGATAACATTGCCAGAACAAGCATTACTACATATTGATCAAGTAATTACCCGTCTGGTAGTTAAACCTTTATTAGACCTACCGAAGTCAGCAACTGAATACGACCCAGAGCCAATTTTATCTTCACAACCCGTGTTCCTGAGATCGATCTTAGTTAACCTTCCACCACGATATCGAACTTCCCGGTCGAGTGGTAACCATCCCTACTTCACATCGGCTATGCTGATTGAGGTTTTTCGTAGGACTCCGATCAGTAAACTAGCCAGCCAATTTACCAACATGGCCAGCGGAAAGGCTGTCATTAAGCAATTCCATTACACAGTAAATCTTTCATTTGGCGATCAATCATCCAGAAAGTCAGCCTCTTAATGAATCGGATAATTTTATCAACTGGACAGTCAACCAGAGAGCGAGGTGCTGACACCTGCCGTAAAGTGAGGCTAAGCACGACACAATTGTAGGTGGCAAGCTAATGATCATGACCCACTTGGGTCCTGGAATGTGGCCGACTCTTACAGGGACAAACCGCGAACGTTTCTGCTAATTTTGTGACCTTTCAGCCGCTGTTATCATTAGTCTGCCCATTCAAGGACATGCTTTCATTACTGTACGGTAAGCACAGTAGAGTTACGAAGGCCCTGCACCCAAATTAGACACGTGCTACATAACTCTGTGTGGCACGGCCATGCAACCATAAACATATGCATTCAGGCCCTGAAGGTGTGGTCAGAACATTGTTTTTCGTCGCATCATTACACTAGGCTTTGAATCCCACATTGCTGAACATGAATAATGGTGCATTCAAATGTTAAAAGTCCATATATTTTTAGCACTCTGTTATTCCCTCAATAGGAGACCAAGTTCCACGCTCATATAAAAGGAATTTAAAATTAGAAATAACCTAAATATGATGGCATTTTACTACTATTTATTTTTATTACCCTACTCTCCTATCGCATCATGTTTATGTGCCCTACCTCCTAAACGTTGATAACTGGAAAAATAATTTCAGAACTTGAGAGTGAAATCTCATGATATTGTATTTCGCTTTAAATGACCTCTCATGTTTCTGGAAAGTCATTTGATAAAAGTTTTGCAAGAATTTGTCCACTTTCTCCCTCTGTAGACGGAGTAAGTTCATCTGTTGGAAGTAAAATGGGACTGTAGACGGAGTAAGTTCATCTGTTGGCAGTAAAATGGCGGTGAGGTGGAGGAAATTCGAAGGTTCAATAGTAGTTAACATCTACCAGACTAAGGCGCAACAACCAAGAAAATAGCCATCTTCCTTCAGACCCCCGCCGAGAAAACCTCAAATGTCATTTAGTTTACATCTTACCGCCTGGGTTTCTGCTTACACGACGTACGCCGTCGTGTTTAACTGTAAATAAAACATAGGTGGCAGCACAATACGCACAGCGCTACTAAAATTTAGTGTAAGAATATAAGGTATGAGATGAATCTGCTAATTGAAATTCAGCAGTAGTAGAAAGAAGAAGCAAAGTAATAAATAGCATTGGACTGCGTAAGTTACATATGCCATGGTGCGGTTTTGCTTTGAAATTAACCGATGACCTGAGTACAAAGAAGTCGTTTGTGTTCATCGATAGACTCTGTTGTAGTAAGTTGAGGTTTGCTCATGTGGTGAAGTTTGATTCCACGGATGATTTTCAATCAACTGAAGAAAATGGCATTGCCTAATGCGGCCCGGAAATTACTTCTCGGCGTAAAATCAAGCTTTTCCTTGTTTCAGACAACAGGTGGGAATAAGTACACTGCGTATTGCCCAGTTGTATTTAATCGTGCTTTGTCCGTCCTCAGGAATTACCACACTAAATTAAGTATATTGTAGTAGGAATAGTTTACTGGACCCTTATTGTGAGGTTATGTAGTACACATGACACTGTATACGAGTGGATAATTCGAAATCATGACCCTGTATTTTTTTTTTATTTTCCTGCAGCAAACGCTGAATACAGGTATTTATCTTCAGTCTCTAACCCGAAAGGGTTACTCTCCTTGGAAAAAGAAGAAGAAAATAAAGTTGCAGGACACAAAAATGTTGTGCCTTTGGAGTGCAGATTTGTGTATCCGGAATTTCTACCTGATCCAAGACTGGACCACCGTAACAGTTTACGAGAAAAGCTTGAGAGAATGGATATGATGAACCGCAGGAACCACATTGATATACCTGAATTTTACGTTGGTAAGTCCTAGTCATTGAGTTAAAGATTATTGTTTTATAATGGAATTTTTGAAAGTGATTAGCACTTTTCCTACATTTTTCCTTGTATCTGTGTAAGTATCTGACATATCCTTTATCCATGGCTTGTGTTAAACAAATGACCTATGGAACACAAAATTATAATTCTGATTCCGGAAAGATTTGGCAGATCAAGAAGAAGAAATACTTTTTGTAGAATTTTAAGTACAGAGGTACTGATGTGGATTGAGTTTTGCTGGCTCTGTTATTTGATACAGGAGCACTAAATAATCCACTGTTTCATCATTTACATCAGTAATACTTAGAAGAGAATGGAACTGTTGTTAGTATAATTTTTATTGTTCCAGGAAGTGTACTGGCGGTTTCATCTTCAAACCCACATGCTCCAGAGAAAGTGACTCGCTTTGTTGGAATTTGCATCCAGCGTGGTGGTTGTGGATTACGAGCATTTTTCATTATTAGGAATGTGGTTGACCATCAAGGTAACCTTCCCTCTGGTGTTCAGCTTAAGGAGTTAATAATTGTGGTGCATTGAAGTGTTCTTGGGCGATTGATCATGTAATTACACTTACATAGTTGACTGCCTTAGAAGACTTCATTACACTATTCTCCCATCTTCTTCTAAATGACAGCTAGCTAGTAGGTATCTATATGCACTTTATCATTTAGTCATTTTCCCAGAATTTGCTAAGATTATATAACCATTTAGTTTGAAAAAGTTTTGTTTAATTAAATCACATGTGGTGTTGGGCATGTTTATTCAGAAAGAGACTTCATAAGAATTCACTCTTTTCAGGTGTGGAAATGTTCTATGAGATGTATAGTCCAGTTATTCAGAAGATTGAAGTGTTGCGTTTGGAGAAGAGATTAGACAATGAGCTCCTGTACCTGCGAGATGCTCTACCAGAGTACAGCACTTTCCCCTTGGACATGGAACCTGAGTACCTTCCTGAAGGATCTGCAATACCAGTCAACCCCATCAAGGTTGGTAATTAAATTTTACAGTTAAACAGTTACTTCTCTGGTACAAGGAATACCAGGCACATTACTGTCAGCATCACAGACCATCAACCGGAACATATCCTGATCCATATCCTCGGAATATATTCTTGTAAGATTAGTTTTCTCTGAACTGTGCCCTTTCAGGTGAAGCTGAAACCTCGACCTTGGTTAGAAAGGTGGGAGAGGCAAGAGCTGAAAGGTGTGCAGGATCTGGGTCTTCCCAAGAGATTCTACGAGAGGGCTGCAGCAGTAGCAAAGCCATGGGAGAAGTATGATCTAATGGCAGAATATAGGTGAGGAATTTGTATCGACCCATATGAGTATGCTGCTTGTTTGCTTGTTTGATCATCAACCATTTATTTTTCTACCAGGGTAGGTCATCATAAGAAGTCTTCTTTAGTTCTCTCCTTCCACAAGCACTCCTTTCTTGTACCTGCTCACCCTTTTCCTAGTCTCCTTCTTATATCTTGCCTTGATCTCTCCATCTTATTCATAGTCTTCCTAATTATAGTTTATTTAGTATCTCATTCTTGACATTAACACATGTCCATATTATTGTATCCTTTATTAATAATATTGTCAGGGCAATAAGTCAAGGAGGAGATGGGCAGGACATGTAGCAAACATGGGGAGATGAGAAATGCTTTATGAATTTTAATAAAAATAATTTGTAACAGACCATTTGGGAGACTTTGACATGAACATGGATCTTGGAAATGTAGGGTGTGGACTGAATGTGACTCAGGATAGGGTTCAGTGGTGGCCTTTTGTGAATATCGTAATAGAATCTGGGTTCCATAAAAGTGAATATCATAACCAACTGAGCAACTATCAACTTTTCAAAGAAGACTATGTACCATGCAAATCAGTTGATTCATTGTCTCTCTGTATATGTAATCATTGTCATTGGCGGCAACTGCCAGTGATTTAGTAGTTAACATACAAGTTTTGTAGTCAGTGTTCCAGGTCTGATCCTTATTGCTAATACTAATATTGAAAATAAATAAATAAAAGTGTATCATCACAATGACAACCAGTCACATGATGCTAGGTAAGCCTTATATATTAAATCTCAGATAATGACAAATAATTGTAGTGTAATGTTGCCGATCAGCTACATCTTCTTGTCAGTTTACTGCTGATGATATTTGTTTTTAATATGGTTGTTGAAATACTGCATTATGTGTTCGTGCACTATGTCTGTGCACATTTATGTTAAAAATGTTCTGCTGATGTGGTAAAACCTTCTCTGCAGGGAATCAATACCAGCTGAAGAGCAGGAGGAGATCTTTGCAGAAGTTTATTCGCAACTTCATCAACTAGAAGTGACAAGGAAAATAATGAAGAGGAAACGAACATTTGTCAAACCAAAGAAAATGGGCTGAAGCATAAGTCTTATTATTAGGTAAGCTGTAATTCCTTGATGGTTATAGTAATTTGTATGTCATGTGTTAAGAGGAATGCAGGAAATGTAAGCTAATAAAAATTTTGGTCCAGAAATAAACACAAAAAGTGTTTCATTATGCCTGTGTTTTATCGCCAGAATGCTGATTCCATTTAAAATGTGGTAAAATGAAAGTTCCTGAGAATGACTCTAAAATAAAGGAATGGTGTGGATTTGATGCAATTACATGAACAGATTCAGTTCTGGAAGGACATAATGTTATTCCCACATGTCCAATGTATAACTGCAAAGAAGAAAAACTGCAAGTTTGCCAGCTGTTTTGTATGGATAACCTTGTCTTTCACTGTGCGAGCACTTCAGAACAAAGTGCTAAGGAATGTACTTGGAATTAAGAGGACTGGAGAGAATTACATAATGTGTACTCTTCATCTAATATTGTGAGATTAAAGCAAGAAGAGTTGTTTGGAGCACAGGGAAAATCAAAAGTGGGAAATTAATGGAAGAGACAGCCAACAAACCAAACTATCTTATCCACACAATGTGGTAAGCTATGTCTTCTGTACAAAATATATTCTAATTTGCCATGTCTGTCAAAATTATATTTATAGCTGTCCATGGTCTCAAACCTGGATGAAAGTTTTACCATAGGTTTTTTATTCTTCTTTTTGATCAGATTTAATCAAGTGATGGTTATACACCTCAAACCAGATTCAAAACTTATATCTAACCTAATCTTGTTGATACTGGCAGGACTAAACACCAGATGTAATGATTATATTGTTATGATGATTGAACTGTCACCTTTGTTTTTGTGTGTTCTATATGAAGGTTACATTAAGGAAATTGAGGTAGATATTCTCTCAGATACTTTGGAAGTTAAAGGATATTACATTATTGGAAAAGGATTGCTCTGGAAATTGTAAACCTCTGTGGCAGGGTAAGTCAAGACAAATTATGTTTTAGCAAAAACACTATGAAAGACTACAATTTTGGTAATTATATACTCACTGGATTGTGTTATTAAATGCCCCTATATATTTTTGAGTTGCTATGATATAGATGGGAGATAGGAAGTTAATGGGAAGATAATTTTAAGATCTATCTTAAAGATGAGCACTGGCTTAGGTAAGAAACCACTAGTGGTGGTGTTTTTTTGTTAAAGTGAAAAACTATTAATAGCAACTGGAAAATGCCTCGGATCTTAGTGATTTCACTATCACAAGCTATACTTTGTTCATACAAAGAACAGGCTGATTGTACAAGATTCTTCTTCAGGTTTCTCATATTGCCTCTCAGTAGATCAAATCGCTGATAACAATAGGCCTGTGATGTTAATTAGTTTCAGAATGTGTGGCATAATGAATGGAAAAACTCACGAGGAATAGCATAAGGCCAAACTTCATATAATTTGCTGAGGAATACAGTGGTGGTCTCAAGAGTGACTTCCAGGTGTTTGTTTTCCTTAAAAATATGACATATTCTTTCCAAATGACCATCTTGCATGTTTCTGTACTATACATTTATCACTGAATTATGCAAACAAAATAACTGGCATAAGAAATTGGTAAAACAAAAATTTATTTTGGGCAAAGTAAATAGTAGTGAAGAGTTGAAAGTAGGCAACCATGCACTTGATACTTGTTAGGACAACAGTCGTCATATTTACAATCTGTCAGCATCTGTGGTATGTAGGAAGTACCGTATTTATCAAACTGATGTTACTTGAACTTTTTTAAGTCCACATAGTTTTCTTCCAGTGGAATTTGCACCTCTCCTTCCATAACCCCACACTGGCCTTGAAATTTCATAGAACTCAACAATTATTAGTCACTTCAGAGTATCTGATGATCATTACATTAAAATTATAATTTTCAATTTGTGAGAATGAATGAATCTGTGCAGCACTAGCTCCTTTTGCTTCTACATGGTCTTCTGACCACATCACATACTTTGTTAAACTTTAGTTTGATAGGCACAATTACCATTACCACTTAAAAAAATAGAACATTACCGTCTTCAATATTGGCAGTGATACTGTATCGATTCTCAACAACCACTGCAAACGATGTGACATTTTGGTATTTGTAATATATATCAACTACTTTAATGGATGTTGCAGCCAGTACTGGCTCCAAAAATACAAAACTGGGTAAATTATGTGCACATAAGACAGTAGTGATACTGTAAAACTATTGAATTTGGAAATTACATGAAAATGCAACTGTTGAGATATACCACAGCTACCAGATGCCTCTTTTCCCCAAAAGCTGTTGAATCAAGTTTGCTTTTTATGTAACTGTTATTTGCAAACAGAAGACAGTCCCCTCCTATTTATAAATGGCAATAAAACTAGAAAAACATGTACAGCTGGATAAATACAGTATTCATGTAAGAGCATCACTCATTCATTAACAGTAAAAGTATGACTGCCAAATATCTGGAAGCCTGAAGTTTTTAAAGTCTTAAGAACCTTAGTGTGTCTTATTTCATATATTTAGTTTCAATGACTACCACAAAACTGTGATTCTGTGATAAGGTACTACAAAACATCTTGACAACATATTCCTATGAGGAAAGTTTAACTTTCTTCACAACTGAAGTCACTGGCACCCGACTGCATACTGGCTGAAAATCATACACCTACATTTCATAACCATATTTACAATAACAGGAATCTGAAAACAGACTATTATTTTAACAGACATGTAGGTGCAACCATCTCTCCTCCTAAGAGTATGTTCACAGAAGAAGGATGTCACTCTAAAATGCCTCTTTTTATGCTTTTTTGCAAATTATGTACAAAAGAACTTAATATGAAGATCTCAAATATGTAAACAATAAAAAAAGGTGTCCGTGCAGACAACAGTTTGTACACTTACTATGAGGAGCAAATACTCTTTTTATAATGCCACCACACTGTCCACATTCATGGAACCTGTAGCATTGCTGTCAACAGCATCATGAGATCCTCAAGGTTTGTCACTTATGGGCTTAACAGATCCACTGACACTGCACTGCTTATATAAATACCGCACTTGCCATTGTCACCACATCTTGGTCCCTTGTACATGACACTTGCTAAGCCCAAGGAATGGGGAAGGAAAGGGGGACAGTGAAATTTAGCTTGTGAGTAATGCAATATTTATTTCTTTAACCATCTTGACTCTGTGCAGCATTTTGATGAGGGGTTCCTTGCCCAGTGCCATTGTTGAGTACCATACGGGACTATCTGGTACACATGATCGTTCTGGCAGCAAGTAGAACACGTCATTCCGTGTCTTCACGCTCTCTGGACTGCAAAAGTGAAGCAAGCATTTATCAGTGACAGAGACAACTGTGTGTACATGCCGCAGTATTCAATAACATTATCGAACTCAGTCTCACCATTCTTTACATCTAATTCTGACTATTAATAACAGCAGTTTCATATCTTGACACAATAAATTTAGTCTCAACTATTGTTTGATTGCATGCAGCTATACACTGCCATATGTTCTGTATCCCACTTTATCAGTGAAAATCCGAGGTCTGATACAAGATAACTATTTTAGAGCATTATATAAAATAATTCCATTTTGTTTTGCTTACCATTTTGATAGGTAGAACTCATATAACTTGACAGGGCATCTCAGAGGGTTCTCTTCATTCTCCTGCTGTTCATAAACCTTCTTTTTTCTTGCATTGGCCTCTACAGAAAGGCAGAAAAATAACAGTGGCACTGTATTTAGTGCTGTATCTCAATCACACACATGCACAAATGGATTTTAAAGAAAATAGGACATGGCACTGGTAATCAAATCTGTAACAATGCTTCTCTTTCTCTCTGTGCCCATGTGTAGTCATTGTCATTATATATCACTTCCTTGGAAAACCAAAAAAGCAAACCTACTTAAAACCATATTTTCCCTTGGAATTTCTACCCCACATTTGTTTCTTTTCAGTCAGCCAACTCACTCCTCCATCTGAGCAGATAAGTCCACACAATGTTAATCTTGTTGCCACAGAAAATTAACTTGAAATTGGAAAGACCACAGTTTCTTTGGTGATAATTATTGATAAGGTTCTTGCAGAACCATCTTTCCTTCGAGATACAGAGCACAGAAGTCTAGCTCAATAACATGTACCACAAAGACTTACCAAGTGCAGACTGAGGTGGATAGAATCTTAAAAGAACATTCCGAGAGCTGCCCGGTACTTTTGTAACACCTGGCTGATTTGGATTTCTCTTCCAGTGTTTCATGATGTGTGAGAAGGAAAGCTGCATATGTTCTTCAACAGTCTGGCAGGAAACAGAAAATAACATGCAAAATATAAATGATTGCTACAATCTATTCACTATATCATCTTCAAATCATACCGTCTTTCTTTGGTATTTTGTCCAGTGTGGGTGTCAGATGGTCTTTTGCTACTACTTACTACAGACTTATTATCACTGTCATCACATATACAGTATATGCCTGCACCTTAAGAAATGAGTGGTTACAATTTAGATTAAATTCAATATTTCAATTAATACATGCTACCTAACTGGTAACTTAAAAAAAACTAATTCCATAGATGTAGAAGAGGTAAATTTATGAAACAATGGTTATCAATTGCTAACAAACTTAAAAATTATAGAAACATGGCATGTATTAGGATAAATCATTAAATTATATTACATGAAACCAACTTGTGTAGGATGTAATGATGGTTCTTAATGTATTAATCTCTAACTGTTGGGCAGCACAAAGCCTTGGTGATACATACTGTTAGGTTAAAATGCTTGGTGTTGAAAAACATGAGTGTGCTTAGCAGTACATGTGGGGAGTGTGCTCCAAGCTGCTTGCTCTCCCAGAGGTGCTCCTCCTCTACTCTTGTAACTATATATTCTGCAACAGAAACAGCTACATGTATTACAAGTTCAGGAAATAACTTACAGTGTCTACATTAATTTAAAAACATTCTTATATATGGAATGCTATCAGGAATTTTAATTAATAATCTGTGTCTGTGCAAACTGTCCACTGGTAAAGATTCACTCTACATAAAATTTATCAGACATAACCTAAAAATTATGCTCAAACTCATAGCTTCTCAAGATGCAAATTCTTTGCTTCCCTACTTACGTGAGTCATTGTACAGGGCTGTAAACTTCTTGGCCACTTCGTCTAAACACTCCGTAAATACATCATAATACGAATCTGTGAAGATATTATCTATTCTCCCATTTTCAAACAAATATTGCTGGATGCCTGTAAAAATAATGGATTTGTTACAAGTACATAGTGACTGCTATGACTAGATTCTAGCCTTTTGCAAACCAAAGAAACATGGCACAGAAGTCTGGCGGATTAAATAGCAATGAGAAAAAATTAAACATATTCCAGCTTTTCTGTCTTCATTAACAAATTAATTCCAATTGAAACAATGAAGTCAGAAGAACTACACGGGTAGCCAATGAAGCACCAAAGACATACATAAAGGATGCAATTAAAAATTGCTAAAATGTTCTTTGAAGACACTGCAGTATATTATGCCAGATATTTTGCTACAAAATGTCAATCCAACCGTATTTATAACCTATAGTTTTAAAACAAATTTATATGAGTTCCTCACCTTTCACTACTTTCCTGCAAGTTTATAAATGATGAATTATACCCTTTTGCTTTTTTTGCATCACTCTTCAATTTACAAATTTGTTTTTTTATCAGTTTAATTAAAAAAGCTCATGTTTGAGTGTGAATAGGTCCAACTGAAATTTTACTGTTCTTCATAACTTCTGCCCTCCCATAAAGGGATGATATGATCAGTAGCTTGTTTGATTCTTGGTTTATGTGATGCTACTTTACCAACTGCATAGGTTATATGACTGGACAATCTTTTGTAATTAATTGAGAAGGATGTGAAAATAAGTGGTTACAGTCTATTTTAAGGTACTGTTCCTTTATCTGCTCTTAACTACTGTTCATTAGTTTTACAACCTCTCACACTTACCTAAACAAAGATAATAAATTGTATCTGGAGCATATTCACTGCCATTAGGTTTCCTAACTTCTTTGACAAATAGGCAGAGAGAGTAGTTGAGTTCATCTGCCGTTAACTGAAGAATCTCAGGTTTGAACAACTTAAGTTTCCTGTTGTTGGAGGCAGCTTTCTCAAGCTCAGCATTCTTTGCCATCACCCACTGCCGCCAAGCATTCACGCCGAATGTATACTGAAAAGCATAGTGGTAGAACTTCAGAAAAAATTTGTATCACCACTCTTGAAAATAGCAGTTTTTTGTTTTGTTTTTTAAAGACTATTCCATCATGTCTACTGCTGAAACGTTTTAATGTTAGTTTGAACCGCCTCAATGCAGAAATAAACTTGCTGTTCGCTTGAGTTAAAAATGAACAGATCAAGCAAAATTTTAAGTGTGGACAGAGTATCTGTTTCTACTGTCAGTGAATATGGACCCTTACTCCCCAGTTTACCGATTACACTGTACCTTGAGACACATGTTTGCATCAGGTTTCTCTTGTTCAACTCGTGGAGGTGGCTGTGGCTCAGGTGGTGGTAACAGAGGAATATCAACTGAGCTGCTGATTCTCCTCCCTCGCTTACTTGGTACACTGCCAACTCCTCTGGTTGATCGGACACCCCGTTTCCTTCCTCGATTGGCTCGTGTCTCTGGCAATGCTTGGACTGGCTCAGGATCATCTACTTCAGACTCTGTTGCTAGATAGAGGAGCAGTAACACAAGCTTCATTGCATTTTAAAGTTACTGATAATTTATAACAGAATTTGTAACAGAAGTAAGGTTGCACTACATTAAAAAGATCCTCAATACTGTGGTATGAGTATGCTATGGAAACAAAGACATCATGAACGTACATGAGCAGCAGTAATTAATCACAAACCACAAGTGCTCACTTTGACTTTCCAGTTGTAATACTGCTTACCCCAAGATCCACAATAGCTACAAGACACTGTGAATACATATACCAATAGGAACAAAGCCAATATACTGATACAAACACAAAATGAAATCACACTAACCATCATTCTGTTCCATGGAAGTCTGTGATTGTGCTGTGATTGTAGACGGAGTTAGGGCAGCCTCCAAATCCACTGCAGGCTCCTCTAATTCTGATGCCATTTTGAGAGCCATCTGCAGCATATCTTCTCCAAAGGTGTTGCTTGTGTCAACGGCTTCTGGGCTAAATCCTCCTTCAGCAGCAGAACTTCCTGCAATATCAAATTTTCACTTTTATACACAATAAAGCAATAATTCAAAAGTATATCTAATACGAGTGAAGTGACTCATTAAGATGGCCAGCATTCAATTCCTGAAAGGGGAAGAAACTGAAAATGGCTCTGATGCCCACCCAATCTCCTATAAAATGGACACAGGAGGTTCTTTTCTTTAGTACAAAAGTCAAATGAAGCACAAAACTGGACACTCACCTCATGCCATGATATAGAATGTACCACATACATCTTCATAGTGTGGTGCTTACAAAGAGGAGCGAACTCAAGCTTTACATCAGATATATATGTATTTTATTCTACGTTATGCCTACCTCCTGGAACCTCACTAACATCGCCGGCACCATTTCCACCATCGTCACTGTCAGAGTCAGAGTTATCACCCTTTTTCTCACCAGCTACCATCTCGGCCATCATCAGCAACTCCGCCTCAAATGGGTCTGTTGGTATCTTCTCTTGAATTCGCTGTAAAAGATTGCAGGGTCAGAAAGCAGAGTAAGGGTGTCAGCCAGTCTGGATTTGTTTGGTTGTTATCTTCTATACACTTGGTCACAATGGTACTGAAGATATTTCCTGACTGTCAATAAATATATCTCTCAAAATGGTAGGCCCTACCACTAACAATGCATTCTGCATCAGTTTAAACAATAAGTACCAAAACAAGCACTCACACCATACTTGCCAGATGCAGAACAATGGGTAACAGTGTCTAGTACAAGGGCAAACATTTCACAGCACATGATAAAAGTAAGTTTTCAGCAGAGATTTTTGTTCATGACTTGACCCCTAGTACATTTTGAAGTCCATGTTAAGATGCAAGACTCATCTAACAATTTCTCCACAACCCTATCATTGGGCATAAACAGAATTCTATCATATGGACACTTCTGCTTCAGAGCAGATTCCTTTAACAACTCTTCACCTCACACAAGCACAAGAACGAGGGTTTGATCTTGGAAGGCTCTTACTTCACAAAGATATTTTTCAAATGTGCCCTTTCTTATTTCGCACATCTCACTGGCCCTAATATTCATTTATTGCAGATACAAATATATTCTTGCAAAGTGCACCAAAGCATTGATTCCATACTGCACAGAGTCAAATATTGTTTCTTTTTTTAATAATTTCACTGAAAAATGTTTCAAACAAAAGAGTTTAATAATATTTATATTTTACTATGTATCGAGTTATTGTAAGAAAGGCTATCTTCAAGAAAAGTGAGTAAAATCTGATCTCAGCTTCATGTGAAAAAAATTAAATTTGATTGAAAGTTTCAATGCTTCACTGTAGACCCTTAACACCAAAATTTCATCAGTTGGGCATGTTGCAAACAGCCACCCTGGACACAGACAAAACAAAGAGGAACCATGAACTGTGCTTCTAATCCCATACACAAATAAGAATGGAACACTTACTTTGATTTCTTTCATGATGCCATGAGCAGAGTTCCTTGTGGTGGGGATAAAAATTGGTACTGGCACAGGCAGTGGAAATGGTACTGGCACTGGATATGGGCTGCTGTACATGTGCATGGGGGCTGGCACGTAGATGGGCACAGGCACTGGAATCAACACTTTCTTGCCCATGGTGTCCTCTGCAAATACAGACATACACAATACTACATTCCCCTGGCAGTGGAATAACATAGCCAGGAAATGCTCAGAATGTGAATAAGTGTCTAATAACAGTAGACACTGCTTGGAAAGCATTTGCTTACTGCAGTTTCTTAATTCCTTCTGCTACGATACAGTCCAGTGCCTCACAGAACACAAAATTACATATTTTTATGCATGAATCAAGTAAGTTCATATAATTCTTCATACTTCATTATGATTTTTATTCATATATTACATTTTGTAATATGTATTACAGTTCACAGACATATTTATTAGAGTGGCAACATTTCAGGAATGAGTAATAAATGAGTGACAGATGAATAAAAATATTATGATTAAAATTGCATTTTAAAAGCTGAAGTATGTACAAATATATAAAACTAAGAAAATATTGAGGCAGCAACAAAAGGCCTATTAAATGACACAATAAAGCTAAAATTTCACTGCTATTCCATTCTGTGACCCACTGTTGCATTTATTTTAATATTAGGATACATGGGTTGAAAAACAGACCTAAAACAAATTTACTTGATACAGGTTCTTATATCATCCACAAAGTCCAAAACTGAGAATGAGAAGTGCTGAACAACCAAGTAACAGACTGACTGACTTTTTATAAAAGCCAGAGGTCCATCCTTGTTAGCACAAATCACAAACAAACCCCACTTCAGTTCAAAACCTTTCTAATATCAGACTCCAGGCTCAGGTGGCTTCTCCCTAAGAGATCTTCCAACCAGACTATGTACACACGTTTCCTCCACCCAACCTCTAGTGGCTCATCATTTCATCCTTATTTAAAATGCATCAACAATAAGTGAACAGTGCTCGTAACTTTCTTTCCATTCTTCTCTCATTTCACTAGTCATAAGGTCCAAGCACTATCTTCAACACTTTGTTCTCAAGTGTAATTATTCTGTACTTTCTTCAGAGTGAAATGATGACATGACTGATCAATGTCTCTCTTCTGACCCTCCTAATCTGAGACACTTAATGCCTGTGCCTCTTTAAGGTCCTCTGTATCATGTGGTAGCATGACTGGAAGCAAAAGTAGCTCTGCCACCATCAATTCAAACTACTGAACCACTGCCTCCATGACCCAGCACTACTTCAGAGAAGTGTCCTAATTTGTAAAAGGAATTAGAAAGAGGGAATTGGTTTCCTCACCTGTTTGAGTTTCCTTGGTGCAAGGATGGGGTCGGCAGGACACTCCCTTGGTGTGCATGTACGGCTTGCACAAGACTGATTTGTTCCTCATTTGTTTGGGGGAAGGCGGCTTCACAATGACCTGCTGCTTGTACATCATAGGAGTAGTCTTCCCAGATTGTGGTGTTGCAATATTATTGTTATTATTATTATTATTCACCTGAAACAAAATGTCATTTCCACTATCTCTATAGGATCAAATTAGGATAATATTATTGAACTGCAAGAATTCTTGGCTCTTGCAAGTTCTCTGCATGATGTGCACAAAATTAATGCATATAGCACCTTTCTGATCTTGATTTTGCTACAAATGACATGAAATTTGGAATACAGTGACATTCCAAAGGTGTTCTTCACACCATATCATGTAGGGTTTCACTAATGTCACCTGAGGTCACTGCTGAGTGACATCATGTTCCAACAATGCATTCCAACAATTACTGTGATCCCACTGTTGTGAAGCAATTATTTCAGGTTCCTGCTATATTCATGTGCTGTGCAAGTGTTCTACCAATAACCCCAGTTCCAATTGTGAAATGTTGTAACAATGGTGTAATGGTTCCCATTCTTGCACAACAATGGCCCTGGTCATGCACATTGCCTATCTCCAAAAACATGTAACCCAACAAATTGGCTTCTGTTTCCACTTCATCAGCAAACTATGCCAGACAACTGATTTAAAAATCTTCAAATATTATGTAGACAAACTTCAGCTTCAAAGGGTCAACCCAACCCAAGATATGTACGACACCATTACTCTAGTTTCCCAAAAATCTCTCACCTTGACTGTGGATGATCTTGTTGTGATACCTGCACTATTTGGACTGGGCACCTGTTGACCGTTAGGAGTGGCAAGTGACGTCACATTTGAGATGACAGGCAGAGATGGAGTACCCGCTGTCTTGTTGGTGGCTGTAAAAGTCACACAATACAATTCTGCTAAATACCTCAACACCTGACAAGTAATACAAATTTGAAGGGCGATAAGTGCTAATTTGCCATGCTATTTAATGCACCAAATTCAACTTACACAACTGATTCTCATTCTGTGTAAGTGGAACAGATCGTCTGGGATACACTCGTTTGGGCCCACCTGGAAAATAAAGGATAATTTCATACCTGCCAACCATTTTGTAATGAAATAACTATGCCCTATCAAAGCAATTGCACTGACCTTCAATCATATCTGCTGTTTTGAATGTGTTTAAAGTTCTGGTAAAATTCATTCTGCCAACATTAGGGCATTTACACACAATCAGAATAATGATTTCACTTGAAGAACACATGGAATTTGCTTATCAAGAAAACTCAATTTGAGTATATGCGATTCTGCCTCCATTCTTCAATTTACCTAAATCTGGTACTGTACTATTGTGAACAAAAGTGAGTCAATATTTGTTCACTTACATGATATAAGTTTGTACACAATTTTTTTAACCCTTGCCAGTGAACCAATCAAACCAGTGAGCCATGTTCTTTTAGACCTTCCATAATTCCATATGGCCAGGGCTTGGAAGCTGATTTTCCATTCAAGTAATTCACATACATGTTTGGGCAGTGCTACCATCAAGCAAAATATTTTAATTTGCAATTTTCTGCTTATCTTGTGGGAAGATACGCCTCTCTTCAGTTTATATTTTTTATGAAACAGCCTTGAAACTGTTGTCTGCAAGCTTTTTGCACTAGATTTGATCTAAGTTTGCATGCATACTGTACTTCATCCTGTAATTCACACATTCTCATTTAGTCATTTGAAAATAAATAAAAGAGAAAGGAAGGGAAGGAGAAAGGGAAAAAACATAGTCTCCACATACTTAATGTATTCCAGTCTTACATACAAAAGATGACACCAATGAAAAATTTCATCACTGGAGTCTGAAAGAGCAAATGGTATAAAATGCGAGCAAATGAGAAGACAATGTATTCAGCACAGTTTGACAAGAATAGTTTATTGTTATTTGCTATTTGCCACAATCTGCAGCATGACCTTATAGCCACTAGAATGTGATATGGGACTATGTGGACAAGATGCTATGTTACACAAAAGAAACATGAAAACTGATATCACAGGTTAAA